GGCTTTAGCGTGATGGTTCTAATCTCATGTACGCTATGTATGTATATATATATATATATATATATATATATATATATATATATATAATTAAGTGCTCAAAGCGATCATTAAACGATTGTTAAGCATAAGTTGTAATGTCGATTGTCGTACACCGATTCCGTAATCGTTCGTTACGTTGTGCTCTATTAGCGTTCGCTGTTCGCAACAAAGGAGCGCGAATAATCTTCGATTTGCATACAATGTGCTTATTACGAGTTATAGCCCGGCGCGGTTGTTTCTTTCGCGGTGCTTGCGTGAGCGAACAAAATGTCAATGCAAGTTCAGTCGACGTAGTCGTACCAAGTAGTTGCGAAGTAGCGCGTGTCGAAAGAGATAGAGAAAAGAGGGAGAGAGAGGTCACATCTCGTAGGAAGAACGTTGAGAAAACGATTCGCAGCCACCGTCGAACAGAGTGGCGTACAACAGAATACGCTCAAGTTTTCCTACGATTACGTCCTTTTCTCTTCTTCCGTTTTTTTTTTCTTGTTTGTAGCCGTTGAGAGTACGTCACAGACTTCTATACGAATACCACTCTGATAGCTGCTAATTCTGAAAGACGAAAGTGAGATAAACAAGAAGAAGGATGGCGGTAATTTTTAACGAGTCCAATCGTCAGCATTGAATCATGAAATCTTTTTTTAGAATAGTCATATTATGCTAATATTATTTCACGAGATATCGTTTGCCCTTGAACCGATTTGTGACAAACCGCGAGACTGTTGGCGATTTAGATAGTCTATAGAAATCTGTGAAGTACATTTTGTGATCGCTATCAAGCTTATGTGAGCATGTTTTATAATCGACAAACTGATATTTATGTAATATTAGAGAGACATATTAACGCCAATTGATCGAAGGGAAAATGGTTATCCGCGACAGCAAAGGAATCAGGAAATTTATCGATCGTTATGATGTCAGAGTTCTAAGCAAAGTTGAGGACCGCTGTCTGTTGAAGAGTCAATAAGCTTAATACTGTTTAATAAAGCTCTACCGATGTTATTGCGAAGAACCGTTTAATGACTCTTGATTTTTCTAAGCCTCTATTTTGCGATAGAATTATCGGAAAGTACCAAAGAACGTGCGGATGTTAATTTTATAGTAAACGGATATTCGGGAATTTAGAGTCGGTTTAGGCAGAAGATTGAAAGATTATATCACGTATGTTATACATCCTGATGTATATGACGTGCAATCTGTTTTACCTGCAGTGTACAAATGACAATTTCGTGTATCAAATATATATCGGGAAGAATATATGAAATAAAAGTCGACCAAACATACAATATAGACCTTTTTAATATTCCCATCTGTCTCCCGATCATCACAATCTTCATGAATTAATTTTTTTTTTATATAATCTTAAATAAAAACAGAATCGTCAAATTTGTTTATCTACCATGCGGGAAATAGAAATATTTTGATGAGTGTTTGATGGAAAAATACAAAGACGTTCCCCTCAAGCGATTATTTTTTAATAAAAACAAAATACGAATGATATCTTTTTACAACTTCTCGGAAGATTGATAACGGATTGTAAAAAACTTCCATGAATTATTAATAAAGTAAATGTACTACTAAAGTAATAGTCCTAGCAGTTTTTGTATTTTTTTATCTCAGTTATAATCACGCATTAAGTAATTATACTCCAAGCGTTCATGTCTAGGGGAAAGTAAAGAAATGATATAAGAGGTATAAAGCAATCTGAGTCGGAAGATCTATATGAGATTCGTCGCGAGCACGCGGATTTCTTTTTTATTTTTTATTTAATTATACATTACATTTATAATATTTAGACTCGATTGTACCAACGTTACTTCGACTTAAGCGAAGCTTAAAAATCTCTTTTTTTAAAGCCGATAGAGAGACAGAGAAGGAGAGAGTTTTAAACCTCGCTTAAAATTAAAATAACATTGATGCAATTGGGCCTTAATTATATAAATACTAGTATATAAATAAAAAAATAAGCTTTAATTTCCGCTATCTTGCTTCATCTATTCCATTAAACACGCATATGGATACAATTCTTAGATGACCTCGATTAAATTTTGGTTATCTTAATAGGCAATTAAGTTATAATTGGAGTTTGGTCGAAGTTGTTTTTATTTTCTCTTAGTATTTTTAGAGTGCATCTTATTTCCTTTTTTTTTCTCAATGTTGATTGTGCAGTCATTTAGTGTGTGTGTGTGTGTGTATAAGTGTAAATGCATATGAATATCTGCGTGTGCTCGGATCCATGGGTACGATCAAAGCTAAATGACCGTGCGGATCAGATTAGAAAGAAAGAAAGAAAAATGGTATGTATGTTGGGAACATAGATTTATAAAATAGATGCAGGATTCTCTTATGATAGAATGAAGCCGACAGAACGGTGAGAGATACAAAACATCGGTGAACCTTTATCCTTCTCTTACGCGCGCATATTGACAGTAATGGAGAAGAATAGAGATTCTTTATACTGTTGTTTTGCTCTCACTCACTCTTACTGTTTTGTCAGATTCACTTCTATCATGGGGCTATGCTAGATCTATTTTGTGAGTGTGTAAGTCTGTTCTTTTTAGCTGAACTTCTTACACGGTTCGTCTTTTCTCTTTTTCTCTCCAGCACGGAAAGAAAAAGAAGAAAAATGAACCCGTGCAAGAACCTTAGCTAAAAAGAACAGACCTTGTGGATGAGAAGTCAAGGAAAAATCCCTCCGATCGGAGAAGCGTACGCATGCGTAATGTATATCATTGATCATGTGATCAATCTCGACAGACTCATGTTCCAATGGCTGCGTTCAGTAGAGAAAGCAGCTTTGAAACTGTTGTAAAATTCTTCAATATGATTGGTTTATACGTTTAGATCTGTAAGGAACTAAAAGCAAGAACCAATCGTATAGTAGACTTTTACAACAGTTGCAAAGCAGCTTTGAAACTGTTGTAAAATTCTTCAATATGATTGGTTTATACGTTTAGATCTGTAAGGAACTAAAAGCAAGAACCAATCGTATAGTAGACTTTTACAACAGTTGCAAAGCTGCTTTCTCTGCTGAACGCAGCCATTGTGCTTGCCCATAGTGCTTCTTGTAATTATTAAAAATTTGTTGCGCGACAAAAGTAATTACTAGTCTAATATTTTATTTATCATACAACAAACTTTTCGAGTGTACTGATTAAGTACAAGATAGAGGATTTCTAGAAATTCAAGAACTTTTTCATCCTCAATTACACACGACGAACATATTTTTCGTCATACGATAAATGAAATATTAGCTTAAGGCCCCTGGATCCGATCGGACATCTCTGAGCGCGAGGTTCGCCAAGCGTCCGATCACGCCATCTTGGCGCATCGCCGGCAAGTTGGAGGCACGGAAACGGTACTCGCTCGCTTGCCTCCGCTCTCTCCAGTTAGTCTAGTTCCGGTCCGGCGTTCGGAGCCATTTCTAATTCTAATATTCCGTTAGCTCATACGGCATACGCCGCAAACACAAGGTGTCCCTAACCTGGGAATCTTTGAAACACGGGTACGTGGCGTCGGTGTCGGTGACGGCGTCCTAATTGTGGGTCGTCCCGCGCCGTGTTAGCGTAGTCTACGATGGACGAGAACGTGGTGGAGATCGAAAACGAGGAGACGATCGAGAACGTGGAGAATGTCTGCAGACTGTGCCTTTCCACGGATGGACCTAGAGCTTCGGTGTTTGGAACGCAGGAGAAAGAGAAGGAGTCGTCCAGCGTGTCGCTGATCGCTAAGATTCGGGCCTGCCTGTCGATCCAGGTACGTATCTGTGCGACTTGCATTCTTTTTCCATAGGTGTCAACGGGACTTCCTTCCAATGCGGAAGTCTCGATCATTCTACGACCGAGTCCGACAAAGCGCCGAAGTATGCCGCTTCGCGACGCGTTTCGAGGTTATGTCTACATAAGTGTCGATTCAGAGTCGAGAATCATGCAATCGGGCTGCTCCTCCCAATCGCATATTACTTATGTCCCATCTCTTTTAATCTCCTGCCTTCTTTTGCGATGGAGCGTAATGATAGCGTCTATCTCATTCTTTTGAATAAGCGAATAAAACATTTTAAGTGTTCTCTTGGATACGTCGCTTATTTAAGTGTTTAAAGTTTGGAAGGAGTGATACATGTTAGGACATAAGAGGATTTTTTTTAGTTAAACAATATCAGTTGATAGAAACGATTTCAGAGTGAGCACTGTATTATAAGAATGTTTAGTACTGATTTTTAAAATATTACAAATTTAACAAAAAATTTTACATATTGTTTTTCATATGTTCGGAGACTTATGACAAAATTTGGAATACATTCACCGAAGCGATCCAAAGTTATAAGGATTTTAATTTGCAACGAATTTATTTATTGCCTATTTTCAAAATATTAAGAGTTTAACAAGAATTGTACGGATTGTTCTATTTTTATGTCTGAGTATTTATGTGAAAATTTGAGTACAATTCTCTTATTAGTTTAAAAGTGATTTAATTTTTTTCTCTTATGTAAAATCATAATTTGATAAGGAAGTAATATTAAGAAAATTAAATTAAATTTTATATATTTATTAATCTTCAAATCATACATCTCCTTTGAGCATCTATTAATGGTATACAGCGAATTGAGATTGACATTTTTAATTGCAAGTCTCTCTTGAGGATTAAAACAGAATTTTTTTTAAAACCACTCTTTTCTGAGGTATAATTTTCTCATAAATCTAATAGTATCACTCAAATTTAATTCGAAAAAGCATATTTAATGTAGTGGGGATAAGCTGCGGCAACTGTTTATGTGCAACTGTCAGCAAATTGAAAATTTT